TATATATATATATATATATATATATATATATTATATATATCTCCCTCTCTCTCTCTCTCTCTCTCTATATATATTATATATATATATATATATATAATATTATATACTATATATATATTATACTATTATATATATATATATATATATATATATATATATAGTATATATTACTATATATAATATATATATATATAACCAGAATGTGTAGTATGTATATGGCTTGGGTTTAAAGTATCTACACACATAGTATAAATTTAAAACTAAAGTACCCAAGCTATCTTGATCTTCAAATTGAGCTCGTCTTGGTAAACTTTACAGATGAAGTTTGATCTTGATTAGACTTGAATTGCAATAGGTTCATGCCTATATTTCTTCCATCCTCCAATGGATATGATCATGAAAGCTTGATTCTACCCAACCTCCAACATCGTTGTTTGTTTAGAATACCTAATAAGAAACACAAACACTAGAAAAACAATATTAGGAATTGTTTATAGTCATCAAAACAAGATTAGGGAGCAGTTATGTTGTCCACAAGTATGTTAAGGAGTAAATTTTCTATAGCAAACGTCGACACATGGCTCAATGATGAAGCGTGAAGCATCCACGGGCAATTTGTTTCTTTCTTAAACATGCAATTAGCACGTATGCATTTTGGGTCATTATTAATATGTTTAAAAGAGAACTTCTAGATATAGAGCAATATATGAGAGCTATTCTAACTTCTTTTGTGCTTTTAAATTGATGCCATTCTCCAGTAATTGCCTCGTGCCACCATGCCGGAATTCTTGTTGAGTCACTTACTATATCACCATCATTCACACATGCTCTCCTTAAGGATTGTCATTTACGATCCTCTCTGATTTCTAGATATGCTCCAATGACTATGAGTTTACAGTAGGAAGACTTCAAGTTGAATATATAATAAATGATACATATAAGTCACGTGTAAAAAATAAAAGCAACTGATAACTTATATAAGTCACAAATAAAGTTAAAATGTCACGTGCTAATTCTACATGCCAGATATAATACGTAGATACCACAATTCCCATTATAACGTGTATACAGAAACTGAAAGGAATCTTTTAAATACTTACTTAAACTCTATTTCTGTCCCTGTGGCATGCATGAATCCTTCATCTCTTTCGGTAACAGTCATGGTTATTATACTTAACCCCCATTGCATGATGATAATCTATCATGTTGAGAATATCTTCATCTTTTAAAAGCTCAAAGGAAATATTAAGAAAATTCTTGGGAAAATAACTTCTTAGCAAACTTTCATATGATAGTTCTAAATTCTCCGCAGTGTACATCTTTAATTCAGCTAACCTTATTGCAGAATTGACTTTAATGAGTGTTGTATTGGTGTTTAACGAAATCACACATATTAAAGATTCATCCATTTTGGTTGTTGGAGAACTTAAGAGAAAAAGTAAAGAGTATTTTGGTTGTTGAAGATCTCATGAGTAGATCTAAAAGGGAAGAAGATATGAAAGAGAATCTATAAATGGCAAGTACAAAATGCTACCCTATTATTTGGAGGAAACTTATAATACTTTCCTCCAATTTTATTTCCCTCCAAACAATCTCTTCCATTGCCATCGTTGCAAGTATTCTCTCTTCTCTTGATCATATTACAAAATGTTACCCCATTATTTGCAGAATAGGTACTTTATACTTTCTTGGGCTAGGGGTGTTTTAGTATGAATACTTGGGTCCAAGTTCTTAAATAAGTTTAACTTTAGTAGGGGATGAAGAGTGCTTAAATTTTTACAAATTGCTTGCTACAAGCTATTTTTCCGAAAGACGATGCATGTTGGAGTAAGTGTTGATCAATTTATGCCTGTTCAATTAAACTCCTCTTAAAGATACGTAGTCCACTTTATAACGTTAACAAGCACAGCGGCGAGAGTGAGAGTTGCATCAAAACCACATCGTTTTTTATGTACTGAACATGAGCTGTGAAAAGTCCAAATTAACCCTATTCTGCATAATACATGGTTCAAAATGTCGCACACGATGCGAGACTTTCTGATTGAACTCCTACTCTCACAATTGTTTGTTAATGCCATGGAGTGGACTACATACCTTTAAGAGAAGTTTAGTTTAACAAACATAAATAAAATGCAATAATGACTATTGATAAGTCTAAACCAATTAAACTGATGGAAATGATTTGACGCAGCGCGGAAGTGATAACATCAGAATCCACTAAGGGTGTTCTCTGAATCCACAAAGAACGATCTCCGAATCCACGAAGAAAATATTGAAAGAGTAATTTTATTGATGAAAAGATGTTGTTCTTTGGGGTTACATGATTCTTCTTCAATAGAAAAATAAATAAGACTCCTAGTAAAACTAGAATTACAAAGGAATAAAAAATATCAAATTCTATCCTAAAAAGACTCCTTATAATAGAGGAAACTTCCTATAATAGAGGAAATAAATCATGAATCAAAACTGAATTTGTTTTCTAATCTAATTTGACTATAATACTGAATTTATTTCCTAATCTAAATAGACTCTAATTTTATTACTAAAAATAAACTAAAAGATGATTATTTTTGGATTTCAGCCAAAACTGGGTATTACTGATGATATTTTAAAAATCTGACAACCTAGTTGGCTTCGTCTCGTTGAGATAGACGATTTATATATATAATATGTCAGAATTCGCCTTCCAGATTAAAAAATATGATTGTTTCTTTGCGGAAGTTAATAATACGTGTAGCTCGTGATTCTCCGAATCCTTCATCAAATTGTCCGTTAAGCGTCCTACATCATGATTGAATTTCAACGATTTCATTTCCATTGTAGAATATGTTCAAATTGGTTAGGCTTAAAATATTTTTAGAACATTTTTAATCTGAACTGATCAAACTAATCACTCTCTTAATTCTTTAAGAGTACGTTTGGTTTGGTGTAGTTGAAACCCCATGTTATTTCAACTATGTCAAAAGCTCAAAAGTCTTGTTTGGTTTAATGTTGTTGCAATACCAAAATGTTATTACAACAACAAAGTAAGGCAAAAGTGGGGGTGTTGAAACAACACTCAAATTCAATAGTGTTCCAATACCAAGAGTCAAAACAACAATGTAAATCAATCGAGATAATATAAGCATAATTGCGAGAGTAATAGCTCTATTATAACTCCACATCATTTTCTGTGTGCTACATAGCAATTGTAAAAATCCAAACGGTCCCCTACCTTGCACAATGCATGGTTCAAAATGCCCCACATGGTGTGAGACACTCTAATAGGATTTTTACTTCGGTAACGAGAACTAAACTTTTTTTTTGGTCAATGAAAAATTTTTATTCACTAACCAAGTATGAAATGTTTATGTACATCAGATACTCAGTGTTCAAAACTGAGATTACAAAGAAAAACTAACTGAATATCATATAAAACATAGATATTCAAATGATAGAAATCCTCAAAACAACATCACTACTTGCAATTGAAGGGGTGTACGAGAACTAAACTTCCTTCAAAGAAAAGTCCAAAACTCTATTGATAGGCACTCTTCCCCAAATAAAATCCATATGCTCTTCATTGTCCATTGTACATTTGATCTATCAAAGGAAGAATAACCATTGTGTTAGTAAACTAATTTTTGAACTACTAGGAAATATACTCTTTTGTCTCATGAGGACTGCCAGCGACAATCGCGCCGCCAACAGTCACTCGGGCTTCTCCCCAAAAATAGCCCCCCTATTTTTGGGGCGAAAGCTGGTGGTGGTTGCTTTGCATGACTGCCGCTAGCACTACTCTTTGTCTCATAGAACTTATGACTCTGACATAAAATAAGGGCATATATGACTCTCTCTTTATTTTCTCCTTCATTTTTGGCTGAACATGTGGTTCATTCATTTTTGACCGAAGATGTGGTTCATGTATCAAACATGTACAATACATGGTAAAATTGGCTCGTCATATCATATCATGGGTCATATGTAACACACACAAGCACATACAAGCATCTCTTACGAAGGAATAAATGAAATATGTTACGTTTATAATTTCATTTTTCTCTTCATGATATGAGAGAAACCCAATTTAGATTCCACTGGACATGCATTTAGGCAGAATTTTAAAACATATTGTTATGTAAAATAGTCCAAATTTCATTCTACGCAAAGAATACATTGGGCTATCACTAGAATTCCAAAGTTTTTGGTGCAAAACAAGTATCTCCACGTCTTACATTTGATCCAGAGATAAAGACGCTTGATGATGCCAAATGTAAAGCTTCTCTCTATGTACTCGTCTACAACCAACATGACTTTATCTCGGAGGGACAGATATTATACCGGACTACCTTTATCTCCTTTTTGCATCTACTCTCACGCTTAAAATTTGACACTAACAAAATTTGACTCAAAGTAATCCACTTTCACACTTTCATCCCCTCTTACAGCTTAGAACATGTCCCCATCATTAATCATTAAACCTAGGGGTGCATTCGGTCCGGATACGGCTCAGATATGATGCTTACCATATCCATATCCACTTACCCATCTCGGACACGGATACAGATACATATATATCTCGGTAAAGAAAATTCATATCCATATCTGCTAAAATCGGATACAGTTACGGATATAGATGCGGATATGCATGCTGATAGAAAATGGATATGAGAAAACTAGATAGTATTGAGAAAAACATAGTTCATGTGATACAAAAGAGGTCGTTAATATGTTCATTATAACGAAAAAGCTAAGATTAAGATTAGACATATTGATCATCAAAAATTAACCACAAATCCACAATTTCAGAATCAAAACTATCATAAGAGTATGACTAATATGTATTCGGATATTTCGGATACAGATATTTCACTACAAAACCATATCCGTGACCATATCCTATCGGTTATATATTTGAATAAACATATTCATACCCTAACGGATACGGTTACAGATATTTCCTCGGATACGAATACAGTTTACCAAACCCTAATTAAACCACATACATTGCACTGAGCCAGCGTTAAACCCTGCACGTCAGCTGTTCAGCGAACACGGCCACCAAAAAGTTTCTCTCATGTCCTCGGAAAAAGCAACGTCATTCTGACCTTTTGATCACGGACACAATAGGCGCATTATACTTCGTTACTCGTTCCAACCTCCAACTTCTACCAACTAATCATTATCCCCAACTATTTCTACTCCCTATATCATGAACTCCAAGAATGCAGACTCATGAACCAAAAACAAAGCAAAAAAAAAAAAAAAATGTTAACCCTTATAATCTCAGCTCTCCTCACTCTAACGCTCCTCAAATACTTCCTAAAATCCCAACACAGATCAATCTACCTCCTGGACTTTGCATGCTTCAATCCCCCATCAAACTACAGCATGCCCCACTCCAAGTTCCTAGAGTATTGCCGACGGGTTCTTGACAAGGACAGCGCAGAGTTCCAGGCACGCATAACGGAGCGGTCGGGCATCGGGGAGGAAGCGGGTTACCCGCACTTCAACGGGAGCCTCCCAACCGACACTCGTCGGGTCCCACGAGGAGGCAGAGCTCGTGATCTTCGATGCGATTGATGAGGTATTGAAGAAGACGGGGATTCGGATGGATGAGATCGGTGTTGTTGTTGTGAACTGCAATTGTTTTGCTCCGGTGCCTTCACTGGCTGCGAAGATTGTGAATAGGTACGAGTTCAGGGAGGATGTGAGGAGCTTTAATTTGTCGGGGATGGGGTGTGCGTGTGGGCCGGTGGCGGTTGGGCTCGCTGGGGATTTGCTCCGGGTGCACGCGGACGAGGTCGCCTTGGTCGTGTCGACGGAGATCACTACGGCTGTTGGCTGGTAACTTTTTTTCCTCTCCAGAACCGCATTATTTAGAGTAAGCGAAAGCTGTTGTGTCTGGTGTGTCGCTGATGTGATACATATTAAAATCACTTTAGTTCTGTTATTTAGATAGCAGGTGAGGACCAATGGATAATAACTAATATTGTTGCCCATTAATCCATTCTCTGAAATCTAGACACTCTTATCTATATGAGAGCTATCGTGTGAGAAATCATGGGAGAGTAATTTATATGGTTACCCTAGGTTTAGGCTGAAGAATAAATTGTCCACTAAATTGAGGGTGAAAAGCTGGTTTATCATTTTTGGTGTCTCAATCTAAGATGGAGATTACCATCATCTGGAATTTAAAAGATATTTAAATGACTGCAAAATATTCAATATTGATCCTTGTTTAAAAGTTTAGAGACTGGAATTATACATGTACGTTAGTATCAAGCTAAGCTTAGTTTTAATTTTTAATACTTCTACCATCTCATCGAGTGATTTTGTGGACCACATAGAACGACTAATGTATGTGGGATCTTGTGGACCATAGGGAAAGTTAATATGCTGAGTCGAATAGATAGCTTTTATTAAAACTTGATGATGCTTGGGTTTGAATGCAGAATCTCTTGAATGACCTTCTCCGATATATCATGTCAAGCAGTTTAATAAAAAATTATAAAATTCAGGACGTATTTGCGTGCAAGACCCCCAAAATCAGGTAAGTTATGATAAAATTTCGGCTGTTTGGATGATTTCCAGGCCGAAAAAAAATCCAATTCGAAGAAAAATGTCCTATACCCATGCAATCATGTTAGATTTTCAGTACATTATGGAGCTAAAATCATGAAATTAAATAGGTTTTTCTCATTTCGTACACATTTTCACCATCTTTAGAGAGGAAATTTCTCCTTAATTTTCTGCTGGGAATCAAACAATTAAAATGTGCATTTCTTGAACAGATATGAAATTTCTGAGAAGCCACTTTTCTGAATTTCCAAGTGAACCAAACACCCCCCTTCAGTGTCATAAATTTAGTATTATCATCAAAACTCACCTCTAACAAAATGGAGAGAAACTTGTCCACGTTATGTGATAGTAAATTGTAGTGATAAATGCAATTAATTTTTTCTTCTGGAGCTTGTCCTTGGGTCTACAATAATATCAGTGCAGTTTGGTATACGGACGAAGAATAAGCCTCGTGCATCGCACGTGATCATGACTATCTGGTTGATCATTTAATATCGCCCACAGTATGACAAAACTCAAAAGAACAAAATTTATTGGCACTCGTCTCCTTACGAGTAAACATTTGTTTCCCCTTGGAAAAGAAGTTGGGTGCTAAGAGGTGCGAAACTTTATGAACACAAATTAAGTAGGACTCTCCACCTCGCCACTCATTTTGAGATAATAGCATTAGAATGTTTTGTAGTAGAATCAGTTTGCTAATTTTGTATCTAATGGAAGAAGATCAAACATTACTTATCTAATAAATGGAGTACAATATCAATCTTTAACCCTGATTATTAAGAGTTTTGTACAGTTGAAGGAATTCAGATTCAGATTTGGTTAGGCACACATCTAAGATCTAAGGTAATATAGGTTAAAATAGAATAGCTTTTGATTTATTAGACTTTAATTTTAAATTTCACTACAAGCCATTTTCCAATAACGTTCTTCATTATAAAACCATAAAAACACATAAACCAGCAAACAATATATTTGTTACGAGCTGTTATCTCATTTGTCAAAATGAGCTAATAAGAGATAGAAATAGTGAGATCCACTTCTCTCAATGTGATTGGAAATAACTCACTTGATCTATATCTTAATAGTTCACGTACCGGAATGAGCTATCTCATCGTACTCATATTTTCCATAAGAGGATCTTTCATCTTAATAAGCCTTCATTTCGACCATCCGCAGGTACAAGGGAAAACAACGGTCAATGCTCCTCACAAACTCCCTCTTCCGCCTGGGCGCCGCCGCCATCCTCCTCTCTAACTGCCCCAGCCACCGCTACCTCGCCAAATATAAACTTCTCCACGTCGTCCGCACCCGCAACCGACACTCGTCGGGTCCCACGAGGAGGCAGAGCTCGTGATCTTCGATGCGATTGATGAGGTATTGAAGAAGACGGGGATTCGGATGGATGAGATCGGTGTTGTTGTTGTGAACTGCAATTGTTTTGCTCCGGTGCCTTCACTGGCTGCGAAGATTGTGAATAGGTACGAGTTCAGGGAGGATGTGAGGAGCTTTAATTTGTCGGGGATGGGGTGTGCGTGTGGGCCGGTGGCGGTTGGGCTCGCTGGGGATTTGCTCCGGGTGCACGCGGACGAGGTCGCCTTGGTCGTGTCGACGGAGATCACTACGGCTGTTGGCTGGTAACTTTTTTTCCTCTCCAGAACCGCATTATTTAGAGTAAGCGAAAGCTGTTGTGTCTGGTGTGTCGCTGATGTGATACATATTAAAATCACTTTAGTTCTGTTATTTAGATAGCAGGTGAGGACCAATGGATAATAACTAATATTGTTGCCCATTAATCCATTCTCTGAAATCTAGACACTCTTATCTATATGAGAGCTATCGTGTGAGAAATCATGGGAGAGTAATTTATATGGTTACCCTAGGTTTAGGCTGAAGAATAAATTGTCCACTAAATTGAGGGTGAAAAGCTGGTTTATCATTTTTGGTGTCTCAATCTAAGATGGAGATTACCATCATCTGGAATTTAAAAGATATTTAAATGACTGCAAAATATTCAATATTGATCCTTGTTTAAAAGTTTAGAGACTGGAATTATACATGTACGTTAGTATCAAGCTAAGCTTAGTTTTAATTTTTAATACTTCTACCATCTCATCGAGTGATTTTGTGGACCACATAGAACGACTAATGTATGTGGGATCTTGTGGACCATAGGGAAAGTTAATATGCTGAGTCGAATAGATAGCTTTTATTAAAACTTGATGATGCTTGGGTTTGAATGCAGAATCTCTTGAATGACCTTCTCCGATATATCATGTCAAGCAGTTTAATAAAAAATTATAAAATTCAGGACGTATTTGCGTGCAAGACCCCCAAAATCAGGTAAGTTATGATAAAATTTCGGCTGTTTGGATGATTTCCAGGCCGAAAAAAAATCCAATTCGAAGAAAAATGTCCTATACCCATGCAATCATGTTAGATTTTCAGTACATTATGGAGCTAAAATCATGAAATTAAATAGGTTTTTCTCATTTCGTACACATTTTCACCATCTTTAGAGAGGAAATTTCTCCTTAATTTTCTGCTGGGAATCAAACAATTAAAATGTGCATTTCTTGAACAGATATGAAATTTCTGAGAAGCCACTTTTCTGAATTTCCAAGTGAACCAAACACCCCCCTTCAGTGTCATAAATTTAGTATTATCATCAAAACTCACCTCTAACAAAATGGAGAGAAACTTGTCCACGTTATGTGATAGTAAATTGTAGTGATAAATGCAATTAATTTTTTCTTCTGGAGCTTGTCCTTGGGTCTACAATAATATCAGTGCAGTTTGGTATACGGACGAAGAATAAGCCTCGTGCATCGCACGTGATCATGACTATCTGGTTGATCATTTAATATCGCCCACAGTATGACAAAACTCAAAAGAACAAAATTTATTGGCACTCGTCTCCTTACGAGTAAACATTTGTTTCCCCTTGGAAAAGAAGTTGGGTGCTAAGAGGTGCGAAACTTTATGAACACAAATTAAGTAGGACTCTCCACCTCGCCACTCATTTTGAGATAATAGCATTAGAATGTTTTGTAGTAGAATCAGTTTGCTAATTTTGTATCTAATGGAAGAAGATCAAACATTACTTATCTAATAAATGGAGTACAATATCAATCTTTAACCCTGATTATTAAGAGTTTTGTACAGTTGAAGGAATTCAGATTCAGATTTGGTTAGGCACACATCTAAGATCTAAGGTAATATAGGTTAAAATAGAATAGCTTTTGATTTATTAGACTTTAATTTTAAATTTCACTACAAGCCATTTTCCAATAACGTTCTTCATTATAAAACCATAAAAACACATAAACCAGCAAACAATATATTTGTTACGAGCTGTTATCTCATTTGTCAAAATGAGCTAATAAGAGATAGAAATAGTGAGATCCACTTCTCTCAATGTGATTGGAAATAACTCACTTGATCTATATCTTAATAGTTCACGTACCGGAATGAGCTATCTCATCGTACTCATATTTTCCATAAGAGGATCTTTCATCTTAATAAGCCTTCATTTCGACCATCCGCAGGTACAAGGGAAAACAACGGTCAATGCTCCTCACAAACTCCCTCTTCCGCCTGGGCGCCGCCGCCATCCTCCTCTCTAACTGCCCCAGCCACCGCTACCTCGCCAAATATAAACTTCTCCACGTCGTCCGCACCCACGCTGGCGCCAGCGACGATGCCTACCGCTCCGTCTACCAGCACGAAGACGCTGATGACGTCACCGGCATATCCATCTCCAAACAAGTCGTCCCTGTCTCTGGTCAAGCCATCCGCTCCAACCTCGTAGCCTTGGCACCCCTCGTCCTTCCCTACCGCGAACAGCTAACGTACATATTCTCTCTTATCACGAAACAGAAAAAGCCTTACGTGCCAAAGTTCAGCCGCACATTCGACCACGTCTGTATCCACGCCGGAGGTAGGGCGGTGATCGATGCAGTGCAGACGAGCTTAGGGTTGACAGAGAGGCAAACAGAGGCTTCAAGGATGACGTTGTATCGGTTCGGGAACACGTCAAGTAGTTCGGTGTGGTATGAGCTAGGGTATGCGGAGGCGAAGGGGTGGGTGAGGAGAGGGCATAGGGTTTGGCAGCTAGGGTTAGGGAGTGGGTTTAAGTGCAATAGCGCGGTGTGGGAGTGCTTGAGGGATGTCGAGTGGCCGATTGAAGGGGCTTGGTCCGACTGTGTTCATCGATATCCAGTTGAGATCCCGGAAGCTGTGAAGGTGGTGTAGGGAGTCTAATGGATCGGTTTCCGTCTGAAATAATTAATCCTTCTGTAACTTCACTAGTGATACTAAATTGTGATGGTCGATTATTACTTTCTTCACAATCAAAGCTGATGAGAGAAACTTACACTAGCTACATATCTAGCAACAATGGATTTATCTAAGGTAGTTTTTTTTTTACGTCTATTAATTTTTAAAAAAAAAACTTTCTCTACCTCTAAGTTCTGGGAAATCCTTTTCGGAATTTTTTAATAGGAAATTAATGGAACCATTAATTTTATAAGAAATGCTAGGGGTACACCCCAAACCACACCACCAACCACACTCTCCTCTCTCATTTGCTACAGTACACGGGGCCTCACATGGGATTTTAAAAATTTTAAATCCCATGTGGCGTCCCGTGTACTGTAGCAAATGAGAGAGGAGAGTGTGGTTGGTGGTGTGGTTTGTGGTGTGCCCCTGTCACCACTCTAATTTTATGGAGATTTCTTCATCCAATTTTCTTTTCTTGGATTTTTGGACAACTAACCAAACAGGCTGAACAGCCAATCCCTCTATTCATGTTGAATGTGAACAAAATAATTTGTCTCGAAGATTATTTTATCATAGATTCATGACAGAGTAGGCATCAATGAGTCACCATGGATCAAATTTTATTACAAATTGCTTATAATTAATGTCAACATTGGCCGGCAGCATCGCACAGTCAAAAGTCCGTCGGCCAACAAGAACCGCCTACTGCTACCAGGATACGCAACACCTCTAGCGCTCTCACCTAACCCCTAACGTACGCAGCCAATTAATCTGAAACAAATAAACAAAATCACAAAAAATATGGCGGCAACAGCAACACCATCGGCGGCGACGGAGGCGGACGCCGCCTCCGACCGCCTCCTCGCCTGAAGGCAGTTCGACGAGTCGAAGTCCGGCGTCAAAGCCTCGTCGATCGGGCATCACCACCCCCCTCCCTTTTTCTCACCCAAACCCTAACCCTAAACCCCCAAATCAGAGGATTTCCATCCCCACCGTCGATCTCTCACTCCCTCGCTCCGCCGTCGTCGACCTCATCAGCACCGCCGCCAGAACCGTCGGATTCTTCCACGTCATCAACCACGGCGCCCTCCTGCCCGTCCTCGATGGGGCGATCTCAGCCGTCCGATCTTTCCACGAGCTCCCCGTCGAGATCCGATCCCAATACTACTCCCGCGAGTTCGTCGGCGGCGTCTCCTACGCCTCGAACTTCGACCTTTTCCGATCCGCCGCTGCCAGCTGGAGGGATACAGTCCAGATCCGGTTCTGGCGGGGCTCGTTTGATCCGGACCGCATCCCAGAGATCTGCAGGTACGTGGATACCGCTATATTATTCGCTGAAATCTTCAATAATTCCTTATTAGTCCCTCAAATCTTTCAAATTGCTTATCAGTCGCTCAAGCGCTATCGGGCTCTTGAAAATTAGTTCAATTAAAAGTTCAAACCATTACGATCCGCCGCTGCCAGCTGGAGGGATACAGTCCAGATCCGGTTCTGGCGGGGCTCGTTTGATCCGGACCGCATCCCAGAGATCTGCAGGTACGTGGATACCGCTATATTATTCGCTGAAATCTTCAATAATTCCTTATTAGTCCCTCAAATCTTTCAAATTGCTTATCAGTCGCTCAAGCGCTATCGGGCTCTTGAAAATTAGTTCAATTAAAAGTTCAAACCATTACCTAACCCTTCGCTAAATTTTACCCCTTAGGTAGAGGATTGTATAGATTTTAGAGATTGGGAAGCTCGGAATTGGGGGAGGGTGGTTCTATGGACCCATTTACAACTTTATTCACCAAAATCAGCCTATTTAAAACTTATTTATAAAAATCGGCCCAGTTTCGACCACCTCAGCAGTGTAGGCTGAATCTAGGTCGATTTAAAAAAGCGCTTATTTCTAATTAGTCGGGTTTACCAACCCGACTAATTAGACACTATCTTAATTACAGGGGTTAGTAGTGGGGGCTAAAATTGCAATTCAAAATTGTTACGGGTGTCAAACCATACTATTTTGAAAGATAATTAACCAGGTTTCTAACTAGCCGGGGCTGGCAACCCCAACTAATTAGAAAAAAGTGTTTTTTTTTCAAAATTGATCTAGTTTTAGCCCGCACTACTGACATGGCTGAAACTGAATTGATTTTGTAAATAAGTTTTAAATAGGTCGATTTTGGTGAATAAAGTTGTAAATGAGTCTATTTTAAATTTTTTTTCCTAGGAACCTATTAAGAAATATTTTGGGAAACTTGACAGAGGCAACACAAGAACCTCCCTTCAAACCATTAAATTTGAGGGAATAATCCCCTCAAAATCTGCCACGAGTTAATTAGAGGGAACAATTTGCAAGATCCATAGGATTTGAGGGACTAATGAACAATTTTAGAGATTTGAGGAACTAATATGGGATTAGTGAAAGACCCTTTTAATTATTTTATTGGTAATCTATATACACTCTCAGTTGTATTTGCAAATTCACCTCCGAATTTAGATATTTGTTAATTCATCCTCAATTCTGTCGCATTGAGTTACAAAAGTTACGAAATATCTCCAGAATATTCATAATATTTTTGTTAGTTGTTTAGCTAAAAAATTTCTTTTAGGCGGTTAAAGCAAAGAACATCAAGTTTGTAATTGGCTCACATTGTATATAGTTGGTAAATTAGCTAATATCTAGATTTTAAGGTGGTGAAACTGCCAAAGGTGGTCGGCAGTAGTATATATCATATTCATATATAATCAGATATCCATATACATATATTATATAATAACTATACTACCCCATATTATATATAATATTAATATAATATGATGATACAATGTTCGTATAGAAAATATATTATATATAATATATATATATAATCGTATAATTATATAAGTATAGTTATATAAATATAATATATAACTATATAGACACACATAAACAAAGCTTTAATATATTATTTATTATATATAAATCGTTATATATATAATATATATATATATCAACATACCAAAAGTTTATGTTCTGATAAGGATTATTGTAAAGATATAATGAATATAGATAAAATATCTGAATTTGTATTCTAATATACCGTACCTGCATTGACCAGAGGTCAATAGCTTGGGTTAACTGCACATAAACCCCTTGTAATATTGTTGTCTTACTATTTCTGTAGTTTCATTGTTGTAGATAGACCCTGTTTTACATCCTTTTTGTCTCTTTTATCCTCGGTGAAAATTTCGTAGATATTGTCCCACGGTGAAGTTAGTGAGTCTATTTAAGTGTAAAGGAGTCAGATAAAATTAAACTGAGCAAATACTACAAGAGGACTAAGTGCAACTTACTCTAAGAACTGATTTAGCTCTATGTTGGTGCATGGATTTAAAACAGATTTTCATCTACTGTGAATTTGCAGACATGTTGAATGGGTAGTGAATATTAATTGATTTTTATTTTATTTTTTATTTACACGATTCTTATATCATACAGTACACGACCGTATCAGTATTTCGACTTTTGCAGACATAGATTTAGCTTTTGTATGTGAACTTACTTCAGTATATGATAGTCATATCCGATCCATATCCTATCTGCAGGGAGGAAGTGATATCACTTGAAAAGCACATGGCAGAGGTTGGGAAGGATGTGATGGGGATGCTAGAGGAGGGAATGGGGGTCAAGAGGGGAAGGTTGGAGGAAATGAGCTGCGGTGATGGGAGGACGATGGTCTGCCACTATTATCCGCCATGTCCGGAGCCGGAGAAGACGATGGGGACATCAGCGCACACGGATCCCAGTGTGGTGACGGTGCTGGTGCAGGATAAGGTTGGGGGTTTGCAGGTTAAGTGGAAAGGAGAATGGGCGGATGTGGAGCCGGTGGAGGGGGCGCTTTTGATCAATATTGGTGATTTGCTGCAGGTATGGAACTTGGTGATTTTTGTCTTCTTTTTGTGATATGTTTTGGATTTTATGGATTAAGTCGCATCATTACTTTGTCATAATTAGCGAAAATAGCTGTAAGGTTTGTATGATTGACAGAAAACTTCCTACTGTTGTTTCAAAAATGAGAGTTTTGATCCATCTGTTTCATGTCATGTAAATTTAATTTGGATGGAGAAATTATTATACTGGATATGATGATTATGTGCACTAATGTATAAACATATATATGATATTATATTAAAAATTGATGATTACATCTCAAAATGGATGCTTATTTACTATAACAATTAAAATGACGAAATTGTCACTTTTAAAAGTCTAGAGATTTTTTGTAATTCTTACAAACCTTAATCTGATGATAGCAGTTCTCAAATGCTGGGTGTGTGTTTATATCGATGTAAACGAGTCTACTTCTGTTACAAATCTATCCACCTTAACATAAAATTCATTTTCTTCTGATACAAGTCTGATGATACATTTTCTTCTGATGATAGCAATGCTCTATTACTGGGGTTGTGTTTATAGAATGTTACCTTTCTGTTACTAAACAATCTTATTTTAATATGAAACAGTCTTCTTTTGGTACAAGTTTATTTACCTCACTTGTAAAATTGTGAGCGTTTGCTGTAAATCTATCTACCTTAATATGAAACTATTTTCCTTTGATATACGCTAACACAATTGTTAGAAATATGTGTACATTAATTTGTAAATTTCTTTCTTTGTTACAAAAATGGACAGTACACTTAATGAAGTATGTGAAAGGGTGGAGTAGAAAGAGCACTTGGTATTTCGATGTGAACATTTAATTTAGAAATTGACAAGGATAGGGGAGAGTATTGATGTCTTACGAATAAAGTGTGACAAAGGAGATGAAGGAAACTTTTTTAAAAAGGCAGGAAATTTTTTTACCATTGATTAATCAACTTGGCGAGTTTTTGAAAATGTTTATGGGGGTGGTACAATAATTTCTCAAAATTCTCATCATAATTTCAGAGCTGTAATAAACAATATTTAGATGTTCTGCTTACTGTTGTTTCTTTTTCTCCAAATAAAATAGGGTCCAATTGCAGATAAACCCTCTGTAATTCCATTGTTGCAGATAGAACCCTTGAGTGAACGTTTTGACTCTTTTACCCTCATAGAAAGAGAAAATTATTTTTGACAAATAGACCTTCTGAGGGTAAAAGAGTCCAAGGATATTCACTCAAGGGAGTCTATCGCAATTGAGCAATAACACAGGATTCTATCTGCAACAATAAAACTACATGTGGTCTGTCCTTAATTGGTCTACAGCACAAGGGGTTTAACTGCAAATGAACCCAAGAAAATATCCTACTCATTGTTCTACATGATCAGATTATGTCAAATGACGAATACAAGAGCGTGGAGCATAGAGTCATAGCAAATTCTCATAAAGAAGCAAGGGTTTCTATTGCCTTATTCATCAAACCTGGGGAGGGAGGGGAATCTTATTACTACGGGCCTTTGCCAGAGGTTGTATCTCAAGAAAAGCCTGCCATCTATCGAAATTTCACTATGGCAGAGTTTCTCGGGACTTTCATTAGCAAAGGTTTGGCCAGCAAATACGTACTTGATCACTTCAAGTTGTAGAGAAGTATACACCGCTTTTCAGAAAAAAGAAGCATGATGTATGTTGTGAAATAGTTGAACAATATTCAACAAAACATGCTTGTGTTGTATATGCAAGGGTATTCGCTGTGAAACTTTGCATGTATAGTAATAAGTTGATGTGGAAATGACTGTTGTATGATTTTTGATTCTATCAAAAAAGTATCAAAATATATAAAGCACTGTTTTAAAGATTTTTTAGTTTGTTTTCTTTCTTTTATCAGAATCGTCAGCTCTCCTTCTGCCCTTGCTACGTTTCTTTTCATACCAGCATTTGTTATTTTTCTGATTAATTCTTGTGGTTTAGTGTCGCGGAGGTAGTATAAACGACGAATGGTAGTATAAACGACGAATTTACTCCAGTATATGTCTGCCGTCTCTTTGGTGGTATCAAGATGCAAGTAATTGCTGCTGGCTTGTGGCATAAAGTATGTACATCAGCTCGGCCAGTTGGTAATTTCTTACTGGTCATTACTTAATATTGGTGGAGGATCCATATAAAGTTTTGTGAGTGATCAGAGATTTATGGCATATCATAAGAAAGTAAACTAAAGTGAAATTATCTGAAAGATTATGCTTGTGGATGCGCACAGAGACATCATCCCAGATTCACAGGTATCACCGTAAACTATTTATCTTACGGGAACATGTGAGCATAATAAGTTCATTTGGGGATTGTGAGGACCAAAGAGACCAGTTTCGTCTTCTCTCTCTCTCTCTCTCTCTCTCTCTCTCTCTCTCTCTCTCATTTGACATTTTCATTTTATGCGTCTTCCTTTGTTTCTAGTAAGAGTCTGCATGTTATTCAACAAGGGGAGGTTAATGAAATGAGACCTGCCCATGAGCAGGCAACATTCGAAAGTTGTTAGGGAGCATTTCCATCACCTGTGAATCTTATGCTTCTAATTATTGATGTCTTGAGACCTGCCCATTAGCATACCACATTCAAACTTTGCGGTTACTGAGCATAATAGTTTCTACTGATGTATTGAGACCTGGCCATTAGCATACCACATTTACATATCTCTATGATTATCAACTGAGCATTTCCTTCGTAGTGATGTATCGAGAAGCAATAGTTTCTACTGATGATGTAGAGGTATTCAGCCAGAAAGAAGAAATAAGGGCAGGTGATGTTTGGTCACTTACCTCTATACTAGTTTAAGACAACTAAAGAGAACCTCATGCTTCTAACTGTTGATGTACTATGTGAAGCTTTTTGAGATCACTTATTAGGTCTCGACATTTCCATACTGTAATACAACATGTTTTAGTTGGTTTTACAAAAGTATTCTAATGTTTTACGTTGACGCCGAACTGAAAGTGTATATTAATTGCCAGATACGGAGACTAAATTCCAGACACTCGTAATGCAGATGGTTCAGTTACTGGTTACCGCATATTCTCGTACCTAATATGTATCTGATACATACCTGATAGTTACTATTGAATACCCATCAGGAAAATGAATCAGATGCATAGAACTGCAGGATATCCGACGTTATTCCAAATTGGTTTTTTTTCTCTTTTCTTTCTTTTTTTTTCATTTTGTCATCTGCGAGAAATTGAACAAATATTTTAAAGAATAGACATTTCAGGTATCTGCCATGTATCAGATAGTTGGATATTTGAGTACTCGCTAGATTCTTAAAAGTTCATCGTAAGTCATTCAGCAAATTGTATACACAAGCCATTGAGCCATAAAAGCGTGCAACAGACAAACATGTAATATTTCTTCAAAAAAAATATACTTTATTTGGAACATAATCCCAAATTACATTATTAACAACGTCCAACGGTTTTGCACAGCCGAGTTTTAGTTCAAAATAGCTGCCAAAGCTGTAAGTTACATCATAAAAAATTCTCAAGTTCTCAAAAAGGAAAACAAAAACAACAGACTTCTCTAGTCGCCAATAATTGCAAGTTTTCGAAGATCAGCAGGGACATTGAACCTTTAAGCCTACACCACTACCATATTCCACTTCATCTTTGATATCCATCAGAATTTGCCTTACATCACTGTCGTAGAAATCAGCATGATTCACAGGGTTGAAAAACAACCAGTGAATGCATCTGAGCAATTCAAGACACCTCGCCAATTCACTCTCCTTGCTCTCGAGTTCCTCCATTTCTGACAATGCATTTCCGTCTAAATCGAAGAGAGGGCGCTTTGGTCCGAAAAAGTGGTACCTTTTAATGTCGATTTGATTCATTACGTGCTTCCCCCAAACTTTATCGTTGTCGTCAACGATCACCATAGCTTTCTCTTCTCCTAGCACCACATCGAGGCCTTTTCTTCTCGGTCTAGTACAATCCTCGCTCGATAGGATCTTGTTCTCAAAGTAAACGCCCTCTGGATCAAGAAACTCAGCAATCTGCAATGCATATTCACGGCAGGCCATTGTGTATATGTACATGTCGAACATCTTACTCGCTTCTTTAAGAAAACTGCGGACGTGCGGCCTGAGTTTTGTCGCCATACCCCTCCATCGAAACACGCTCCTACCACGTTCATCTTCTGAAGATTCTCTCATTTGCATCAAACGCTCGTCTTCAGAAGAGAGATCTCCATCCCTGACAGAGTGTAAAAGGGTGTTGTCCAGATCGAGGATCAACATCAGCTTCTTTTCCTTTAAAATCTTTTTCGTGTTTTCTTGACGCAATCGTGCCACATCCCAGCTGCTGACGTTGGTGCCCTTGTTGATGCATCTCAGCGAAGCCACGCATTCATCACCGACGAGCTTCTTCAATCTCTTGCAATTTGGAGCCTTGTGCTCCGCAGAGAAATCCCCATTGGAGCTCAAAGCAAGCGTACTCATTGCTGATTTCTTCTTCCCCTTCTCCTCTCTCTCTCTCTCTCTATCTCTCTCTGTGAAAATCTCTGTCTCAACTCTTTGTGAAAATCTCTGTCTCAACACAGAAGTCATTTATAAAGGATAGGTGATCAATCCTCACCTACAAGAAATAGGACTCCGAATCCTAAGAGGATTCCGAGTAGTAAGACGTAGAATTTTCCTTTTTCAGCCCAAGTCCTAAAAAAGTTTCGTTTTTTTGAAAATCCAAGAATCTAATGGAAATCCGAAAACGCGGGGGAAGGAGGATTGAGAGAAATCTTGTCAGCATTCAGTTGCTCCAATTGGGCTCAACTTAAAGCCTAATTGAGAGCCCAGTTGAAAATCGGATCTATACGGATAGGCCCAATTTAAAAGCTACTCATCGATATGTTTAACACCGTTATTATTATTATTATTTTAGAAGTTGTTTTCCCTCATTAGTATATACTAACAATTAGTTTTTTTAGTATTATCTGATATGAAAATTTTGAGGGGTATATATGTTAGGGTCCATTTAATCCCACATCAGTTATAAGAGTTACTTGATGCGGGTTTATAAGAGGTTTAGGTTTCATTCCTTCACAAGCTAGTTTTTAGAGACAAGTTAGATCCCTTACAAAATGGATAATGATAGTTTTGATGCCTCCTTTATAAGGGATTTGGGTTCTCTCCCAATATATTAAAAACCCTTGATTTTAGAAAAAAAAAACTTCTTCTTTTTTAAGATTCTGGGATGATTTGATCAATCAAATAGACCTAAAAATAAAGATAAAAAATAAAGATGATGATGATTATTATTAGGGAAAATTGCTTCCAGCCCCCAAAACAACCCAAAACATGCTCTGCCCCCCCAAGACCTTTTCAACG